ATGGGGGATGGGGGGGGGGGTGGACAGGTTTTCTTGGAATCTGCCGGTACCGACGTGTTTGCTGAGCTAATTAGCTGGACGTTGACCCTGGCTTAAACGTTTCCTATTATTAATACGGTGAAAGTTTGATAGAAACGCAAGTGCTGACGTATATGAAGATGGAGTATTGATTCCATTGTCTAGTATTATTGTTAAACAAAGCAGGTAAAAGGTATTGATGTTTACCTTTTGCATGGATGAGCACTACCTTTGAACAGAACCGTGAATGAACGATATCATGAAATGGAAGGAAAACGTCCATCGCGCCAGTTACATTGTGAACGCCAGAAAAATCTGACATCAGCTTTACCAAAACTTGTGTATGTTTCTGTCATCGTTCTTCAGAACACAGGTTAACATTTGTCGCGGTTATTACCTAGATGACTTGGTATTAAATGTGCATGGAAATGCATGTTAATTATTGCATGAGATTAGAAATAGATAATATGACATTCGGATAAAGTGAGATGTGATTAATTAATGCCGACAGCTCGTTGAAAAGGCTTCATTGATCATAGATGTCAACACTTGTCAGCCAGAGTTCATACGTACACACATTTGTATGCACACGCCTACATATTGACAGGTAGCAATTACATGGTCTGCTGTAAATCAGGACAAAGTGGCTTTATGAGGATTGTAAATATTCTTTTGCTGGATTTAAACTGGAGAAGGGGAACATTGGGTTGTTGCGTCAAATGCGGCGTAAGTTTTATTCGTATAAACTGCTGATTTCCGTTGCAAGGAATTTACCTCATTGTGTTTGGAGTGACCAGCCGAGCAAGTCGTCGCAAATAACAGACGCGTGATATTCTTGTGTGGTCATGTCAGAGAGTATGAGGCTTACAATCACGCTGTGTGATATGTGGCTTCACGGCTGCAGTTCGCTATAGCCGAACTGATCGTTGACTGATAATCAATACAACGCGTAACTTATAAATAGAATATAATAAATAAATATAAATAAAACGTTCATATCGACTATATCATGCCTTAGGAGACTGAAATCGATTAAGTCGTCTGATTTCGTAAAAATATGAAAAAGAAGAAAAAAATTCCTTGTTGAATCCTTATTCCACCTCACGGTCCTATCGTGATCATCAGGGAATACGGCTACTGCTTTGGCTGTATCTGTTCCATTTGTTTATTTATACTCAAGGCACGATTTTGTAACGGTCTTCATTCATCTTTCTTTTCTTTAGCAGTTACTTGATTCAATGCTTCACTCATTCTTCCTTAACATTCTTTCCCCTATGCGCTTCTCCTCCTGTTCCTTATAGTCTCTATAATGTGAGTTCGTTCTTTGGCCATTGCCTGGGACGTCGAATGTGGATGACAGATAGCTTCTTTGACTTATTGTTCTTATAAATTTTTCTTGTACAAGCATGATGTTTGTTAAATCCATGCAGTGTTATGATTTTCTTCTCATTTGTTATTATTGCTCTGAAGATGATCATTTAAGGTGTAATATTTTTTAATTCTGTTAAAGGAGTTTCGTAAAATTTACCTGTTCGTTTAATTCTGAGGTTCCTTATGAGTCATTGTCCAGAGTCTGCCAGGTTCGTATTTTGTGTGTTAGTTTATTTTTTTATAGGGAAACTGATTCCATCGAAACCTATGCCGCCCATCTTGTGGATCTTCTCGAGTCCTGTCTTGACAACAACTTGATTCCGAAGAATTTCAAGGACGAAGACACGCCTCATGCAAAAATTGCTTCCGATTTGCTTAGCTGCATATTTCTCGTACGTTACCTTTACGCGATGTGAATGCATTTTATGCAAATGAGTTTATTGCTGCTATTTATAGTATTACACGAAAAAGTCGGTAATGACCGTGGCGATCCCTACTGCCGTGAAGATGCTTTCAAAAAGTAGCAAATCATTGGTGCGCAACACCAGCAGTTATTTGGCCTTGGCGGCGATCTACAACGGTCGACTACTTTCCCAATATGCGCTGCCCATTTTACAGAGTATCAGATCAGGTGAGGTTTAATGTGCAGTGCGGTTGTTTTTGAGTTGATTCTAACGTTTTCTAAATAGTACCAGAGGTTTAGCGTTTCAGAGACGACGGTAGTTGTCGAACTACGCACCCGTCAAACGAAAGGCTTCCGACCGAGTGGTGCGCGAGACGAGCTCTTTCACTGTCGAACTTTAATTAATTTATTCATCGTTTATCTTCTTCCCAGCTTGTTTTTTATGGCGCGCCGTTAAAGCACAAGTGGACGCTCTTTCGATCTCTTCTTTTTTGCTCATTTTTTGTAACCAAGTGATTTTCGACAGTCCATTCGAGACGTGAACCCTCGTGAGCTACCCTCAGGTAGTGTTTTCGTAATCTTCATCACGTCTCATTCAAGGTATTCACAGAAGCAAACAACTTGTGACGTTCTGACCTTGTGAAGTGATACACTGACAGATATCACGGACGAATGTTGGGGAACAAAACTGTTTCATTGCCACTGCCGGATTCGGATGCTACACCATTTACAAACCTTCACGTAGTGGGAGTGATCAGTAAATTGATGAGTGGTTTGTCTTTCTATCCACGCACAGTAGAAGCTCTTTTCAATCTTCGTTCATGTGTCGCCTTCAGCGATGCTCCGTTCACTTCGTATAGTCATTGCAAAAGCTCGTAATGGACTGCATTGAATTAAATCGTGATAATTGTGCTTCTGTTCTTCTACTGTCGTTCTTTTCCTGTCAGCCTTTCGCGATTTGTCGTTCTTAAATTACTGATAACTTGAAATGGTGCGGTCAGATTTTCTTACTCTCTTCTTAGGTGCTTCGAAAGGACTGTCTGCCGATTGCTATGCATGATCCAATCCCTTCATAACGAAAAGCGGATAGCGGTCTAAGTGCGGGAGCGCAGGAGAGGACGAAGTACAGCGTATGTACGGTTCTGAGGCACTGCATAATCCGATAAAGTTGTCTGAAACAGAGTCGACTAACAGTTACCTCCATTGAGAATATCTGGTACGACATTTTATGCCCTGTGACAATGTAAGGATGATAATTTCTCAATACAGTGGCAACAGCTGGATAAAGTGTCGAAATTTTGGTACGATAATTTAATATCAATCCGCGGTTACAAAAAAGTTACTTGATGGCGAAAGATAGATTAAATTATGTTATGAAATAATTACACGGTTAAGAGAATTTTGGAAAGCTAAGAATTTACGCATAAGCATGAAATTACTGCTGTGTGATGCTTTAGCTTTGTCGGTGGTCATACATGGCCTTAAAATATTAGGTTCATAAAAACGATATGCCAATATTACTGGCGAAAGAGCTCTGGATTCGTGCGGCACAAGTTAACAGGAAGGGTAATACGCGGGAATTAAAGTGTTCGGGCATCGTCAGCGGACGAAGATTGTGTAGCAGGTATGCCTTGGATGCACTGATCATCCTGGCCCGCGAAATTAATAGTTAAGACAACGGATACCAAGGATTGCATGAGCCTCGTCGCGCATGCTGCCAGAACGTCAAGCCGCGGCGAAGACTGTGAATTCATCTCTGGCTCTTTATATCAGCTGCTGCAGACAGCCACATTGCCACCTGCGACCTATGAATCGCCTTACCTCTCAAGAGATACTTATGATAAACCACAGTATTGCGTTGTATTTGATAAACCTGTTTTCATGCTGCTTTCTTTACTAGTTACTGCATGACTTGAAAATGGAAGAAAGAGAATTTTATAATGGTTTGAACGTCGGTCTTTCTTACACTTTCATGACTGAGTGATTTCTGCCACCTTTCTGTTCATGACGTTAAATTTCAGGTGCTGATCTCCATTTCCATGCCATCATGAAAATGCCATCAGCCACCAGTACGTTATTTTAAAGCCAGAGTCGACAGTAGCATATTCCCCCGTTTCCATCCCACACAGTGGTACTCATTTAGCGGTAGTATGACGCAGAACTCCCCCCGTTTTTAGCAGCCATTGTTGTTTCCTGCTCATTTTCTTGTTTTCAGGCAATTACTCGTTGATACGCGTCTTACATCAGATCTACTCAGAGAACAAGGAGCCGTTTCACGCCTATTTATATTCACTGCTGCAGGTGTTCGATCACTGTGACAACTCTGAGAAGCTGTCTCTGTTGCAGTTGTGTTGCAGCATCGCCACCAACAAGCCGGACCTGATGGTGCCTCTTCTGGGTTCGTTC